AAATGGCTGTAAGTGCGAAATTAAATGCATGGAACAAATTATACATATACGCTAAAACAGTTTACCTTCCTATGAAACCAGCCATAGGTAAATAAGCCTGTATACATATGTAAATAATAAAATAGATCATTAATGATTGTGTATTCAGATACTCTTAACTGCACAGGGCCAATTTAAACAAAAAGGGCGCCAGTCTGTTTTTTTTACCTGATGGTAAGCAATCAGCGCCGCCCATGGACACCCGCAACCACAGAGTGCGTTGCCGACCTTTTGGTGGTTTAGGGATTTGGCCTCCGGAAACTTCACTCACATGGCGAAAGCGAAACACAACGCTCTGGTTGTTTCGCGCCGGTTTTCTATGAGGCCATAGTATCAGTCCGGTCGAGCCGACCCATTCGCGCCGAAGCATGGCTCTCCCACAATCTTGTAACTCCTCGGCGTTTAAGGAGTCAGTTGGCGTCGCATACCACCAGTAGGTCCGTCTACTCATTTGCAGCCCTATATTATACCATTCAAATATTTTTATATATTTTTATATAATTTCGAATATTCGTCACAATTGGCTGACATACATGCCTACCTTTAATGTACATATGTATATTATGTCACTCCTACATAATATCTTGCTTGTCTTGACTTATAGCTTTTTATCAAGAGCATCTCGCATATCTAACCTTTGAAATAGACACGAGTATGAAAATCCATATCAGTTTTGTCCAATATGCTTAGTAGGTATTATAGTATTATAGTGCTTATTACAAAAAGTTACGGTTGAAAATCTACCGTAGGCAACTTGAGAAACCTAAGATGATTTGCAGTTTTGCATATGTAGGTTATGTACGTGTTATAACGCTGATACTAACGATGTTTAATAATTCACTGATTGCTGACATTGTAACAAGGAGTTAGGTATACCTACAATGTACGTACTCGTTTAATATTTCTGCAATGACAACCTTCTCCATTTCAAAACAGCGTGCATGTTTAACTTATTATTAACTATTTATACTCGTGGGCCTTTATTATGTAAAGCATAATCTCCATTATCATCACATATTTTAATAAGGTAGAGTCATGCTTCAGCACAAATGGGCCAGTTCGACCAGTCACACAACGCAGTCACAGTCACAAAAAAAAACCGAAACTCCCCCAGTCCAAAATGCTAAGCTTTAATACTTGCCTGGTATAGATTGTGTCCATGAGCATGCCCTGATTGCTTATTATCAGGTGTACGATTCTTCATTTAGAACACATTAAAGAAAAATTTTTACTTAACAGATGTGAAAACTGCATATAACACCTACACTAGTTTACGCCCTCGGCTTCACACGCGTATTAAAAGTAATGTATCCCGGGACTTTAAAAACAGCAGCGTTCTAAGCTCGACTAAACTATGCAAATCAAGTATAATTTATAGCCTATAGTATCCAGGAACATTGTAGCTAATAACATATCCGAGAAAGAATTTTGGAAATCCGATCAGCGAGCGGTTCCAAAGATTACTTCCTCCAAAAAAACTTACAAATAAATCTTTATAATATTTACGAGCTTTGTCCCGCGACTCCGTTCGCGTGGAATAGTGATTTCCTGCAGATTTCTGATATTAAACTATCCTATGTCCTTTCTCGAGTTCCAATCTAGGTTTGTACCAAATTTCACATAAATCGGTTCAGTAGTTTAGGCTTGAAGGAAAGACAGACAGACACAGTTACTTTCACATTTATAATATTAGTTTGGAAGTTTGGATAATGCATAGTAACATTTAGTTTAAAATTAAAACCAAATCCATTGGCATTAACTACAAGGAGCATGACAAATGCTAAGTTCTGCAAAGAGTTTGAAATCCACATTTTTTTTTTGAACATATAGTCCCTACCTATCAACTATCCCTCTTCTAAGAATCGAATTGTCGCACTGGACTATAATAATTTAGACATTGCAAAATCCCGAGCGTACGGCGCATAGACCACCACAGACAGGGCCTATTAGGCCTGATGTTCAGCCGAGGTTGTGGGGTAAGCGCAATGAGGCACCGCGACCGGCTTAGAGCAGGAGAACGAACAGGGGGGTATTTAGTCAGTAAGAGACTCCAACACTCCCTCCCGCTCGACCATGGGCGGGAGAAGTCATTTGATGATATTCCACCCTCACAAAAATGCCATTGCAAAATGTTGGTTTAACAAAAACCTCTATGTACCGTTAAGGTAAAAGAGAGGTGAGGCAGTCTATCTCTCTTCCATGTATTCACCTGTAATTAAATTATTTTCTATTTAAACACCACCAAGTGGCTCGCCCTGGCTTCGCAACGGTGTTAAATACTTCATTAATGATGGGAAATCATAGAGAGCAAGCATGAGTTACATCACGTGAGACTTTTTAAAGAAATATTATAGGACATAAAATATTACAGAGATGCACTTGCGATCGATCGTTTTAATTAATAAATAAAAAGGAAAATTATTTATTTATTTATTTATTTATTTGCAAACTAAGTGTATACATAGGTCTTATTGCTAGTGGCACTTAAAAACTTAGTAGCCTTTTCCAGGCATTGCAAACATACTAGAGGGTAGATACTTGTTACTAATATTATACTTATTAATAATTAATTAGAAAATAAATTTACACAATTAAAAGAGATCATTTTTAGTGGATCGCTGTATTAATATTAAATAATATTTCTGAGTAGGTAGGTACTATTATAAAATTTATATGTTTGATCATCATAGATATGTATATTATTTTCTGCTTATTTAAGTAGTATTTTTATATATATTCACGTATTTTTATAAATTAATATTTAGTTAAATTATCGTTATTTATTTATAGATATATTTAAAAATTCCTCTACCGAATAAAAGCATTTGTTTATTAGAAAGGATTTCAGTTTTCTATCAAATGTTATTAAGCTGGTTTCCTTTTTTATATCTTGTGGCAGGTTGTTATATATTTTTATAGCCATATATTGTGGACTTTGGTTTAACATTTTAATTCGAGAGGGTGGAAGATATAGTCGGTTTTTGTGGCGGGTGTTTATGTTGTGTATATCTCGTATTTCAGTGAATGTGTGAATGTTTTTGAATACAAAATTACAAATGTCGTGTATATATATTGAAGGTAATGTTAGTAGTTTGTATTTTTGGAAATATGGTTTACAACTTTCTCTATTATTTATATGGGCCAGAATTCTAATACACTTCTTTTGCAGTACAAATAGTTGATGCATGTTGACGCTGTTTCCCCATAATATTACTCCGTACCTTAACCAAGAATAGGCGTATGCGTAGTAAGCTGAAAGTGCGGTTTTGAAATTTGTACTGTGTTTTAATTGAAAAAGGGCGTAAGTGAATCTTGAGAGTTTATTTTTTACTTCATCAATGTGGTTTTTCCAATTTAGATTAGTGTCTATTTGTATACCTAAGAGTTTAAAAGTTTGTACTGTGTCTATTGGTGTGTTATTATATTTTATGTTTATTTGGAGAGGGTGGGTTTTATATGAACGGAATTGAATTATTTTGGTTTTGCTGTAATTAATTTCTAGGTTATGGTCTTGAAGCCAATGTGTGACGGTTTGTAATGTGTTTTGTACTAGTTGGTCTGGGATTTCGGAATTTTCGCGTTTTATTAACAGGGAGATGTCGTCAGCAAATAATATAATTTATTTTTGTATATTAACATAACCTAAAAAATATTTAACACAATTGTAACAAAACGTCAGTTTTTAAGCAGAGATAGGCACATACATAACTTTTAAATAATGTCCATAACTTGGGAATACTTGATACGGCCAGTATTAAGCGGTCGGATTAGGCTTTGATTTTCCATGGTCCAAATCGACCGAAAGACTATATTTCTATGCATTTCTTTACGAGGAAACAGACTTTTGTATTTTAAACAATATTATGTTTACGTTGCAATTTTGAAAAATAGTAAAATATCCTTCTTGGCTTTGCACATAAAGCTAATAAAAGTGAACAATAACAAGTTGTCAGCTACAAACAAAGTGTCCTGTACCTACACTATCTTTGCAGAGTCAAACCTTTGACATTCGCCACCCAGCGATAAAAATGTAGATTACGTACAGAGTGTTTCATTTTAAATATTTTTGTTTACCTACTTCTACAACAAATACCTATGCAAAACAAAAATATTTCGCACACTCAAAATTTCGAAGTATGACTAAACGCATATGAAAGAATGAAGAGCCCTGCCTGACTGAAACGTAAAAAATGAAAAATCTTTAGACTGAACTGTGGATTTTTCTTAATCTTACCTGCATAGTTGATGCGGTGGCTGGGCAACTGACTGCTTGTGGTTTCAGGTCTGGGTGTGATTTGTATGTGAAATTGTATGTTAGGAACCACACCCACAAGACAGAAACATAAAAAACAATCTAACCTACACATTATATAGTGCATTTATTGCAAGCTTGAGATTCCTTTTGTGCCTTGATTGCTTAAAAATTACCCTGACACTTCTCTCGCTTCAGGGCTGGGCCGTGAGGAGGATAGTTCCCATTACGCGCTACACCTCTTTGTTTGCGATCTTGAAAGCTCCGCAGGACAAGGAGATGCCTTCCCAGTTTATTTTTTAAAAAAAAACGTTGCCCTACTTTAGGATTTTCTCCTGTGTCGTGGGTGCGGTTACAAACATACAATTTCACATACACATGACAACCAGACCCGGAACAACAATTTGTGGATCACACAAAGAGTTGTTCCGTGCGGGAATCGAACCCGCGATACGTTGCACGGCAGCCAGTTGCCCAGCCACCGCACCAACCGTGCAGTCAGCAACTGTGCAGTTGTTAGTCCACGGCCTCGATTAAGGCCGGATGACACAAGCTGAGGACATGGCGGTGATCGTAATCAAGCTGTACCTGAAATTTAACATCTTCTAAAGAACATGTGCATTTATAACAACCTGTATAGCAAAAATGTCTGCATATGTTTAATATAAGAGACTTACCCGACCATAAACAAGAACTTAATTTTTATTCACGAGTATATAAATGTAATGTTTCCTGTGTCCTAGTTTAGTACTGCGCAGCATTACTACCAACAATGAAGTCGATTCTCATACTTATTTCTTTACTTGGTGAGTTCTTCGAACCTTCTTAAAACTCATTTCATACTAAGCCGTAACAGTTTCGTTATAATATTTTTTAAATAAACTCCTTAAAGATAATCATTTTCCTGTAACGTAACAACCGAAACCACATAAGCACACATAATGTTGGCCACTTACACTAATGAAATATTAAAGTATAAAAATTATATTCGGCTGTGAATGTCATAAAAAGACTAAAAAACACTGCGTCGATTTGAAATAATAATATTTAACCTTTGGAAAGCTACATTTACCCTAAGTAATGTAGACTATTTTATTATATTGCAAGAAAAGATATACAGAACACATAAAGAACGAAACCAGTGCATAAACTAGAATGATCCGCTAGTCAGTAAAATAGAAAATTATTTTAATTCAGTTGTAAGAGGTTATGTTCTTACATTTCAGATGTTTTCATTTGCTATTGTAGTTTACCTAACTCTATGTAAATGTACATTTTGTAATAAATATATTTTGCAGGTATAACACTCCCTTCGGCACACTCCCGCCATGTTCCGTTTTATAGAAAAGATTATACGTACATTGAACACTTTGATGCTTTCTATAAAGTCCACTGGGACATTAGTGGAACGAATTGGAACTTGGCTTTCTTGACCTGTGAAGATGAAGGCGCTTTGCTGTTCTATCCGAAAGCTCAAGGAGAGTGGGCCTTGGTGAAGAACCTTACTGAAATGATGACAGAAGTGCCAAATGTGACGGAAATATTTGTTGGATTCCACAACGAATTTAACTTAGGAGAGTTTGTAACCGTCGATGGTAAGTTCGCTCTTTACCACTACTTTGTTATTGCATTAGTCATTGGAATACCTTTTGGAAAAAGTTACACTTGCATTACTAAATAATCTGTAAATCCACCATAACCATTTTTGATCACGTATTTGAACGCTCAGATAGCGTGTGATAAAAACAAAATATACAGGGTATTCTTAAAGGAGCATGAACGCTTAGAATCAAAAAACTTAAGGCAGACTATTATTTAGAATACATCTAAAAATGAAATATTCCACAATGTGTATCACTTACATTTTTATAGTTACAGAATAAACACACTGCAACTTTTAATGCTAAAGATTGTGTTATAATTAATTACAAATATAATTTCAGGATATTCAACCCCATACCCGCTAAATGTTCACAGTCCTCTGAGTGATCCGAACCTAGATAACTGTGTGACAATGAGCATTGATACTGGCAAATTCCATGAGGATTCTTGTACCCGGACAACAAGCACGCCCCTACCTTTTGTTTGCAAGAAAACTGAAGACGAATCGTGCCCTACTATTGACAAAGGTAAGAATATTTAGATCTACCATAAAAAAAAAAATATTTTGCTTTTTTTATCGGGTTGGCCACAAAAGCATTCAGCAGTAAATCTTGAATTCGGTTTTTAGACGTTTCATATGGTTTAACGTAACTAAATGGAATCGAATTAGTAGTAGAAGTGGTACCTACCAATATTGCCATGTGAAAATGTGGTATCCAACCTATAATTAGAAATTAAAAGTCCAAGTTTCCTTACGATATGTTTTTTTTCATACGCCAATGGTGAGGCTTACTATTAACATTATATATAAATATAAGTGTTTTTGTCTTTCTTGGTGTTCACGTCGCAAAGCACGCAGCTCAAACTGCGAGCGGAATGCTTCTTTTATACATCATAGGTCGCCGAACGAACAGACGGATTACCGGGTGGTTAGCAATCAGCGCCCCCCTTAGACACTCGTGTACCAAAGAAGTTACTACCAAGTGTGTTGGCGGCCTTTTGAGGGTTATAAAGGATTTAAGTATTTGAGGATAAGGGGTGAAGGGTTGGGCCTCCAGTAACCTCACTCACACGGCGAAAAACAATGTTAGTGTTGATTCACGCCGGTATTCTGTGAAGCCGTAGTATCACTCCGGGCCATTCGTGCCGAAACATGGCTCTTCCATACTTAGCTACAAAGCTAGACAATTTATTAAAAACTACTTACATGTTTTCAGGTTACAAATATATAAAATCCTCACATAAATGTTATAAGGTGAACAACAAACCACAAACATGGCAAGGGGCTATGAAGACTTGTTTCATGGAAGGCGGAATACTGGCAGTCATAGAGGACAGTGCACAGGCAAGGGATGTCTATAATATGGTGGATGGCAGTCCTGAATATTTTGTGGGAGTCCGAAGACTTTTCTCTCAAAGTGATTACTATACAGTGAAAGGTACGTACGTGTTCCAGTTTTATATTATTGCCTCATGCATGACGCTTAAATATTGATGGACTCACAAAATGACACTTTTACCGAATTTAATAAATCATAATTAATTGTAAATATAGTAACGCAGGCCTGATTCTTCCCCTTATCCTTAATCCTCAAATCCCTAATAACCCACAAGAAGCCGACAACGCACTTGTAGCAACTCCTTTGATACTACGACTGTCCATGGGCGTCACTGATATCTTACCATCAGGTAATCCGTCTGTCCGTTTGCCGACATAATTATGTTATAAAAAAAAATTAACATATGTACTAATTATCTTAGTTTTACTAAACTTGAAAATTTCTTACAGGTCACAAGTTCAGTGATATGTACAGTCTGTCATACAACGATCAAAATGGTGATTGTGGCACAGTTTCAAGTAGAAATAGTGATCGTATTTATACTTCTACTGCGGATTGTGACCAAAGGTTACCGTTTATTTGCGAGATGGAAGCACAAAAATGAACTTTTTAAACTTTATTTTGTCATTCAGCTTTATAAAACGAAATAATAAATATTATACATAAGCAAGAAAAACCTTTCTTCTTTTGAATCGCAAATCTTTTCCACCTTTTTGTCAATTTAAAAGAACCTAATAATAAGTATAATAAATAAAATTTTACTTATATATATTTTTGAATGTTTTTTTTTTTAACAAATTACTTTAAATATAATTTATATGTATTTATCAATACGTTAAATAAAGAAAATGATAATAATAATATCAAGTTTAGTTACTTAGTTTTTTTTTTAATTTTACAATGTTAGTGATTTAACCATTTTTTTAATAGCTGAAAGTGGTCTTACTTTCAACTATTAAAGAAATGTTTGAGAGTTTGTAGTGAGACGTACTAAATTCATTGAAAAAAAAGTGTGGGAGAGCCATGCTTCGGCACGAATGGGTCGGCTCAACCGGAATGATACCACGGCCTCACAGAAGACCGGCGTGAAACAACAACAGCGTTGTGTTTTGCCTTGTGAGTGAGGTTACCAAAACCAAACCAAAACCGCCAATCCTTCCCCTCCCCAAATCCCTCCCTAATCCCTAAATCTCCCAAGTCCCTAAACACCAAAGCTCGGCAACGCACTCTGCTGTTGCGGGTGTCCATGGGCGGCGCTGATTGCTTGATATCAGGTAATACGCCTGCTCGTTTGCACACAATCTATCACATTAAAATAAAAATAGAATTATCTCAATAATATTTTCAAGTTAAAACGGAACTCTTAAATTAATTACACTAAACAGTTAATAAAAGTATAAGTACATAATGTTACATTTTCCATTTCTTTTCCTATCTTTATCAAAAATTTTGAGAAAGTATTTTGTAATCGAAGGTTGTAGTGACTTTCTTGTTGTTTTTGTGTAGGTAATAATAGGTAAGATAATCGCCGTCGTTGTTTTACCGCAACATAGAAACACAGTTCATCATCATCATCATCATCAGCCTACCAGTGCCCACTGCTGAGCAAAGACCTCTTCTCATACGCAGAAGGTTAGAGCATTAATCACCACGCTTGCTCAATGCGGGTTGGCGATTTCAAACTTACAATTAAATTATAAGTCCAGGTTTCCTTACGATATTTACCTTCACCGTAGGTATGTCAGTGGTGCCTAAATAATCATAGAAAGTACATATTATAACTCGGGAAAAGTTACATTGGTACTTGCCAGGTTTCGAATCGCACCCTCATGCATGAGAAGCGGGCTCCTTAACCTCCGGGCCGCCACGACATAACATAAACACAGTTCACAAACTAAGAATTTATCTTAGTACTCTCCAACTTTGATTGGTAACCCACTGAGATGATCAAAATTTCCCCCCGACAAGTGAATCATGTTTTGGTCGTAACAGTATTTATTATCCAACCACACTCCATTACAGCCGGTATCACGCAAGCCTACATCATGCTCGGGAAATTGAAAACCATCGAATCATATTAGGGATTTGGGTGAACATCATAAAAATATAAGTAAACGCTGTCAGGTTTGCCTAGAATAAAATATTCCGATATATTTTAGGTAACACATAATTATAAAAAGTTTATTTTTATATATATTTTTTACTAAGAAGGTAGGTAATGTTTAATTGGCCACGAGACCAAAACTGCCATGTTTTGAAGAATTTTTGAATTCTTGGTTGGTGCATGCTTTATACATACATAAACAGATATTAAAACGACCGATATTAGAATTACAATTGGTGCCCCCTGCGGCGAAAGCACCGAGAGCCCCGCCGCTGACGAGGACGCCCATAGCTCAACCGGCACCGGCTCCTGCTGTGCCTCTGGCACCAAATAGCCGCAAGCGAAGAGGCGCAGCAGCTGAAATTCCAGCCGTTGCAGCCCCAACCCCGCTATCAGAGCTGCGCACCGATGGCGACGAGTGGCAGGTGGCCGGGCAGGCGAGAAGGAGCGCCAAAGAGGCGAGAAAGCGCCGCAAGAAGGAGCAGCGGCAGCGGCGGCAGCAGCGACGCAAAGAGAAGCGCGCTGCGGCAATGCTCCTCACCCCTAAATCTTCGGCTGTAGTTATCACGCTACAGCCGGACGCGGCTAAGAAGGGGGTGACATACGGCGACGTCCTCGCCAAATTGAAGGGGACGGTTACTCCCGCGGAGTTCGGGGCCCCTAACGGGTTCGCGGTAAGGGTCACCGCGACTGGAGCCCGTCTTCTGGAGGTCCCCGGCGCGGCCAGCGGCCCATCCGCTGACGCCCTTGCCGAGAGGCTCAGGACGTGCCTTGCGGCGGATGAGGCTCGCGTGTCCAGGCCCACCAAATGCTTGGAGCTACGCATCATGGGCCTGGATGACTCCGTGACGGAGAACGAGGTGGCGGCCGCTGTCGCAAGGACGGGGGGGTGCTCTGCTGATCAGGTGAAGGCAGGCACCATCCGCCCGGACAATACGGGGCTGCGGACCGTGGTAGTGAGCTGCCCCGTCACAGCGGCCAAAAAACTGTCGGAGGGCAAAAGGCTCCTGCCGGTCACAGGGCCGGCGCTTGTACCGCCCCGCCGCACTGCGTAGTATGTGCGGCGGCTGGCAAGCCGGCCGATCACCGGGCTGGGGGCAAAACCTGCTCCCCCCCCACCAAGCCCAGGAGCAAAGGTAGGCCCTTAGCCACCTCCACCGCTCCCACCGTCGCTCCCGCTGCCGCCGCAGTCGCCAACACCCCTGCGACTGCTGCTGTCGCCGCTGCCGTCAGAGAGGAGGTCGTGATGGATACCCAATAATGGCTCCATTACGCCTCCTCCAGGCGAACATCAACCACTGCGTCGCTGCTCAGGATCTCCTGCTCCAGAGCATGGCGCAGTGGTCGATCAATGTTGCTGTGGTCTCCGAGCCGTACTTCGTTCCACCCAGGGAACACTGGGTGTCAGACCTGGACGGCTCGGTGACCATCATCTCGTCGGCCGCCGCCGGTACCCCAACCCCCGAAGGGCCTCAGCGAGGCAGGGGTTGCGTCGCGGCTCGGTTCAGAGAGATCGCCGTGGTGGGCGTGTACTTCTCTCCGAACCGAACTCTCGTCGAGTTCCACAACTCCCTCAGGGAGTTAGTCACCGTCGTCGTCGGGTTCCGCCCCCTCCCCGTGTTGGTCCTCGGGGACTTCAATGCCAAGAATTTGGCTTGGGGTTCCCGGCTCACTGATGTCCGGGGAAGGATGGTCGAAGACTGGGCTCTGGAGACAGGCCTAGTCGTGCTGAACCGGGGTTCTGTCCCCACGTGCGTACGGATGCGGGGCGAGTCAGTGGTGGACATTTCGTTTGCTAGCCCCGCTCTGTCATCGCGCGTTGTTGACTGGCGCGTCATGGAGGAGGTGGAGACGTTTTCGGACCACCGGTATATACGGTTCGACGTCTCCGCCGAGTCCGCAGACCCGCCAGTCAGACAGGCCCCGTGTGGCCCGCGTTGGGCGCTTAGGCAACTGGACCGGGAGCTTTTCCTGGAAGCCGCAGTCGTGCAGGCCTGGGTGATACCACCGGTCAGGCCAGCCGACATTAACGAGGAGGCGAGATGGCTCCAGGACGCCATGTCAAGGATGTGCGACGTGGCGATGCCCCGGATCCGACCGTGCCAACGCAAGCGCCAGGTGTATTGGTGGTCGCAGGAATTGGCAGACCTGCGCGGTGAGTGCACCGCAGCGCGACGCCGATACACCAGGCACCGCAGGCTCCGTCTCCGCCCTCTGGACGCTGAAACCAGAGAGGCGGAGCTATACGAGGAGTACAGGGCGGCGAAGGCCACCCTCAGGGTGGAGATCCGGCGGGCCAAAGATCGGGCCCGCGAGGAGATGTTGGAGACTCTGAACAGAGACCCGTGGGGACGCCCCTACCGGATGGTGCGTGATAAGCTCCGCACCTGGGCGCCCCCACTGACTCAGAGTCTCCGGCCGGAGGTCGTGGACGAAGTGGTTGGGGCGCTATGCCCCCGACCACAGATGGGTTACACGCCTCCGGCTATGCCCCCGCCCCCTGCGGTGCCCAATGCGGGCTACATCGACGACGACGACGAATCCGCTCCGGAAGTGACCGAGGTAGATTTGAGAGTGGCGGTGCGCCGGCTGAGCGGCCAGAATACCGCCCCAGGACCTGACGGGCTGCATGCCAAGGTCTGGGTCCTGGCCTCGGAGGCTCTCAGGCCTCGACTACTTGGTCTGTTCAGCGCATGTTTGGAGAGAGGCCAGTTTCCGCTGTCGTGGAAGACGGGTAAACTGGTCCTCGTGAAGAAGCCGGGGCGTCCTGCGGACTCCCCGTCCGCGTACCGGCCCATTGTGCTGCTCGACGAGGTGGGAAAGCTGTTCGAGAGGATAATCTCAGACCGCCTCGACGGGCACCTGTCTGGAAGGGGGCCGGATTTAGCGGACGGCCAGTTCGGCTTCCGCAGAGGGCGCTCCACGGTGGACGCCATCATGCGCGTGAGGGACCTCACGACGGGGACAGCGTTGGCCGGGAGGCGAGTCGTCGTGGCGGTGTCTCTGGACATCGCCAACGCCTTTAACTCGTTGCCCTGGAGCTGCATTTTGGAGGCACTCCGGTATCACCGGGTGCCTGCCTATCTCCGTCGTGTAGTCGAGGCTTACTTGACGGACAGATGCGTCATCTACCCCGGTCACCGGGGCGTGTGGAATCGGCGAGAGGTGTCGCGCGGTGTCCCACAGGGATCGGTCCTGGGACCTCTCCTGTGGAACATCGGGTACGATTGGGTGCTACGCACCGACCTCCCGAGCGGCGTCAGCATTGTCTGTTATGCTGACGACACGCTGGTGCTGGCGAACGGGAGGTCGCATCAGGCGGCGGCCGACCTGATGTCACAAGCGGTTGCGACAGTCGTTGCAAGGATCCGGCAGTTGGGACTCGAGGTGGCGCTCCACAAGTCCGAGGCCATGTGCTTCTATGGCCGTCGGAGCGCGCCACCTCCAGGTGGGTCCCAAATAACGGCAGGAGGAGTTACCATCGGCGTCGAGTCGGCGATGAAGTACCTGGGTCTCGTCCTCGACAGCCGATGGAACTTCACGGAGCATTTTCGTCGTTTGGCCCCTAAGTTGGAACGGT